CCTTATTAATTATTCGGTCTCTTTATTCACTTCAAAATTGTAATCGTTATTTCTCTCCATCTAGAAAATGAACAGTATGTAAGCTTTCAAAATTTACTCCTTTTTTTTTTCTTTTAATTTTAATAAGCGCTTTAATTAACTTATTTGTTTGTAATTAAGCACAAAGCTACACAATGGGGTATGTGTGCTCTGCTCATCACTGATATCGAAACCCAGTTTCTGGCAGACATACCGCTGTTCCACTGGGGGGGGGGGCAATAAACTTATTATCTTCTTGAAAAGAATACAAAAACATAAACATAAAATAATTCATCAATTAAAATGCATTTAGTTGTAGGTTTATAATAATGAGTACCTTAGCAAGTTATCTTTGATATTTACGATAGAACTTAAATGAACTTTTGTAATTTAACTAGTTTTTTAATTAATGTAAAAATCCACCAATCCGTTATCGAACAATGTGAATTGCACTCAAAGATTCATCAATCCAATTATTTACATTGGTGTGTTACGTGAATCATAATCAAAGCTGGATAATCAACAGAATATGATAAGTAATCCATTTTTACTCTCATTAGCTAAGCGTGCTCATAAGTTGTTATGATTAATCAAAATTACCATCAGTTATTACTTTAAATCAATAATAACATAACTGTGCAAAACACAAGTAACAAAAAATACACATAGTGTAAAATATATGAATCTTCGTTGCGCACAACGTGAGATTAACTGCATGTTATAACAATTTTGAGTATTTGTTTGGTATGTGACAACAGATGCGAGCCATTAGGTTTAGAGCACCATGTTTAGGAACTATATACATTGGATTACCAGCGAATTTCCGACTCTTGACAGTTCAGTGCCTTTGCGGTTGTTTTTTGGCTTGAAATATATATGTCATAACCCTTTATGAGGAAGAATGCGTGTATAATGAGATTGTTAACTGATAAAGAACCAAGGGATTCAACATTTCGAAAAAGGAGGCTTTCAATATTTTCTACGTAACCTGGCGGGTTTCGTTCAACGGAACAACAACTGATTTTGAAATCAAACTCCAAGCTAATCAGGAACAATTCCCTCATCCGCAAATTGAAGACTATGGTTGTAAAAGAGAACCTTTCGACCCAAAAGTCCATAGGGCATATTTCATTAACAAGATATTGAAGAAGAATTCGAAGGTTATGAAGGTTCACAAGCCGCAAGTTCACTAGCTCTCAGTCTTATTTTAAAATATATTACTGTTTTTCCATGAGAAAGATAACAGAAAAAATTGGAAGTCCAGCAGTCTAGTTCGGCAATATAAATGTCAAGGTTCCGATGCAGCTAGAAGACGTTTTGTATCTTTGGCCTGCTTAAATATGTACTTGGAACTGATTTACGCACAATGTAAAGTTTGTCAAACTGTGTCTAGGATTGACCTTATTGTCCTTTACAGAAACTTGTTATAATGGGAATTGCGACGTCAGGCGCTAATGCGTAATCATAGCCATCAGAATAAGCGTAATCGATAATTGAAGTAGCTTCAAAGGCGACACGGGACATGGTTGTTATATAAAATGTGATTAACCCTCATTACAAAAGTTTCTAAATCAGGAACATATATGTTTTGTTAAAATTTTAATAATGACATGCAAAATTCAAGCGATAAATATTTTTAGACTGAAATGAGAGAACACTTATTAATTTCTAGTGAAAAAATTATATTATAAAGGAGCGGCTTGTGTAAATTTGTAATAAACATAATTTAAAGTGAAACTTAACTATAAAGTGTGAATGTTAAATTTGGTTTGCGCTAAAAACCCAACAACAACAACTTATCGCCCCCAATAGTACAGCGGCATGTCTGTGGACTTACAACGCTAGAATCCGGGTTTCGATACCCGTGGTTGGCAGAGCACAGATAGTCCATTGTGTAGTTTGCTCCCCAGTGGCACAGCGGCATGTCTGTGGACTTACAACGCTAGAATCCGGGTTTTGATACCCGTGGTGGGCAGAGCACAGATAGCCCTTGTGTAGCTTTGTGCATAATTAAAACAAAAACAACTTATCAAACTGCGCCGTGAAAAATTCGTATTAAAC